CAATCCAGGAAGCCCAGAAGGAAAAGAATTAAAAGGCTTTAATAAAATTGCCTTCTACCTTTCCCCTAAATGAGTCTTTGCTCATTTCCGACAAAACACATGGAAAGTAAATCTGGATTATAGTGGGATTTCATTGCTCAGATTTCCAATCAGCTCAATATATGAAAGAAGGTTTTGGTCTGTCTTACAGGGAAATAGAAGCATTGCATATACCACACATCTATCTTAGCTGAAATCTCCTTAGATGCTCTGTCTCTGTTTATCTTGCCTCCTGTAGCTTAATTATTTACTGTAATTCTAGCAGTTGGCAAAGAACCTAAACCTAACCAGGTATCATCCAATTACTGCTTTCAATTTTTAACTAAAATTTTGGGGGTTGTCCCAGTCTTCACTTTAGCTGATTACTTCGCAAATTCCTGATACGCCTTGCTTAACAGTATACAGAAAAAGAGTAAATTATTAAGAAAATTCAAGAGATGTACTAGAAGATGGCTACTCATTAAAAAGAACCCTACTTTGAAGTAATGGCTGTCACTTGACAGAAATATCATTTTTATTTATTAAAATATAAGAAGATTATAATGTGTTTCACTGATATGTACTTTTGCTTCTCACCTGAGGGCTTGAGAATTAAGTTTAGAACCAGGTAGACAGACACTGAGTGCGAGTTTTGCTCTTGATGTTGTTTCAGTAATTACCAACAGAAACCAGGAAAATTACAGTAGCGCAGGATCCTGATAACCACTGCAGCCCAGGGGTTGTGTGTAGTACACGTTACACTGTTAGTACAGACTGCACTGCTATATTCTTTCTCTTGCCTTCCTTTCTCCCTTCTCATTAGTCCCAAATCATCTCTCCCTAAGAAAAGCCTCACTCAAGGTCTTCAAAAGGTCTTCAAACAGGGGGTCTTGGCAGGGACACAATCTTTTGGACAGGCCTCACAGTCACTTCTACACGTACAGCTCTGTACAAGGGAGTACAAATACTGACACTGGCTTGTGGCCTGCAACAGTGTCACTACACATTGTCCTATGGACAGATGAAATAGATTTGAGTGAAGGCAGAGTCTGTAAAAAGCGCTGAATTATTAAATTAAGGATTGCACTACTGCAGTATTTAGTGGCAGCGTCTGTTTCTCCGTGCCAATTTGGAAAGCGTAATAGTTGCTGCAGCTCTTTTCTGCTGGGACTGATCATAGCTATTCATTCACTGGGCTCAGGTCATGCAAACATTCATTGTGATCTCTGAGATATGACCTCCTCGCACCATATAGATTCAGTCTTAGAATAGCCTTCATTCTCAGAGACTAACAGAGACCTTTTAAAGGTAACAAACTTCAGTCCTATTGCCCTCAGTGGGCTTAAACTGACGACTTATCATTGCAGAGATTTAAAAATGTAAATCAAATTTGATATAACAATTCTGTGTTACAGCAAAGTTTCTGTTCAAATCATGATTCTGCTCACCAAGATGCACAAAGAATGGATAAATCTGCTTCCTTAAAAAAGAAAAATTCATCAAAAAAAATTTTCTGCTGTTGAGACCACCACAGAAACTTTAAAAAGGCAGTAGACTGTAAGCTACTAAAAAGGGAACAATAAAATACGTATCTGAAATCAACCTAGATGTCATCTTCTGGCCCCTTAACTCAATACAGCATACAAAACTTCAAAAAATAACCATATATGTAATAAGAAGGAGCATTAACAGAAATGCCTGTATTTCCAGCTGCATTTCCCAGAATTTGGAAGTTTAGACCAAAATTATGATTTATCAACATGGAAAATATGCAACAATGTGATCAATAACATAATTTACACCAAACAATCCTTCTTCTTTGATGCCATACATGAAGAGTACTAAAGAAATAAAAAGATCCTCAGAAGCATCTACCAGAAACAGGAAAAAAAATAATTCAAATAGCAATTTAAATGTTGTAAACTACACAGTACAATGAAGCCCTGGCCTTATAAAAGTAATCTCTTGCTTTGCAATAAATGGTAGCAAAGCCAAAATGTCAGTGTAAGTATGTGAAAGCCTGAAAAAAGTGACAGTGGCAATGTTTTGTAGCTTGCACTAGTTCAATATAACTGGTAACAAAAAAATCAATACCAACATCAAATTATTTAATGATTTATGAAATAATTAGTATTATTTTGATACTAATATATTTGTTTCCTGGAAGATTTACATCATCTCTGTTGAAAGTGGGTCACCAGGGACCTAAGGGACATCAAAAAGCAACAATAGAGGCAATTTAAGTAATCTGAAATCTATAGGTTGCAGAAATATTAAATACAGTAGATCTGCAAAGAATGTAGATAATACTTTATGTCTAAAGAGAAGGATTCTTTTTTTCCAAGAAAAACAAGTTTCTATGAATAATTTTTATATATTTTATTTATTCTTTTATATATATATGTGTGTGTATGTATGTATGTATGTATGTATGTATGTAAAAGGAACGATTTTATAAGGAAACTAACAGTTCCTCTGGCACTGAACCATTAAGAACACAAAAACTTCAAACACTCCCAGGTACTCAATCCCCATCACAAACAATAAAGCAGGCCTTCCACATTAGATAAAGTAGGCCCGATAACTGACACTATATGGAACGCTGCAAGAGTATGCAGATCTGGTATGCTTTGCAGAACATTAAAGAATTCATTGTTCAACTGCAAAGTTGTCCTAGTGATCTCATTTGCCCTCTGCAAAACTGCTGAGGGTACAACATCCATCCAGTGCTTATGGTTTATGACTATGTTTGAGGGCAAAGCACTTTGAGATTCCTCAAAACAAACATTAACGTTAGTCCTGTAATGCTTTCTTGACACTACGCTTAATTAGGTAGCTTTTTGGATTCCACTTGCAATCTTTTCTGATAACAGTTACCATACCGGCAGCAAGGCCTATAGAGTAAAGGTTGCAAAACCAGGCCCTACGTTACTGCCAATTACAAGAGGCAGTATTTTTATTCAGTTTATAAGTGCTATGTTTAATTCCAGTAAACGTGGGATTAGATGAATATCCAGAATCATACTATCATTTGAGCAAGCGCTCAGATGAAACAGAGCACTTCTAGAAACATCCAGCTCATACTGGAAATACTCAGGAACTGTGAACCTCAGATATTCAAAAACGTTACGGAAACAGCTTTAAAAATAACAAGGATTAGAAAAGAGAATATAATTTTCATCCTTTTTCTTTTAACCTTTTGATTAGTTTTCAGGATTTTCTTATTCCCCCCCCCTTTTTTTTTTTTTTTTTGGCTAAACAAGAGTCTGACATGATCTCAAGATTCAAGGAGCTGGAACTTAAAGACATGAAATATTTCAAGATAACAATCACAGTGCGGCCAAAATTCCTATTCAGAGATGTTACTAGTATCAGTTTCCCCACTATTAAAACTATACTATTTCATTAGCACAGTTATTCTACTATTGGGGGGGGGTGAAGGGAAGAGGTGGGGAGAAATCCAGCAGAGGAAAAGCTTTGCACATCCACTGCCTACAACCTTATCCTGTCATGTCATTTATTAGATGTGTCCATAATAGTCAGAAGCGGCTGCAGAGCATGGAAATAAACTTTTAAAAAGGTGCTGCAGCTTCCATTCAATCCAATGTAAAATAATAGTGTATAGAATTAACTCTCTGCCCAGTGTGACCTTCCTGGCTAGAGCTTTTGCAGGGCTCCTGCTGCACATTAGCTATCTCCTATTTCCCTGCTCATAAGTGGGAGCTGCTAGTAGCAGTTGCTGTATAATTACTTACTTGATTCTGTCTAAGGAGCTTAAACTAAGAGTTGAGCAAAGAAAGCAGATTAGCAATTTGAATGCACACGTAACACACAGACACACACACACACTATCTGCATGACTGCCAGGTCAATACGCGGGGCCCAGGAAAGGTACTTCAGCCACTCTTGCTCCAACAAGAAAGGTTTCATGTTCACTGCAGGGCAATTAATCTGTGCGAAGAGGGAGAGACAGGAAGAGACGAGCTGAATTAAAAGGCTGGGGAGAGGGACTGGAGACGCCAACTCCTCCATCCCCGCTAGCCAGATTAGTACCAGAGGAGGCAGCACAGCCAGGGCGCTCAGCCTGCTCTGCCAGTCACATGCTCCCAAATGTCGCCTAGCAACAGCAAAGCCCAAAGAAAAAGTTCTCCCTCTCTCAACTTCAAATCTGTGTCTGAGACTGACCGAGGGAAGCTTATTGTGCGCCAGACTAAGCATCTGTTTCTTCCTTACAGCTTTCCGTAAATGACTGCACATACAACACGTACGCAAACCTGTCCACAGCATACACTCCTACACAGGCACAACACATCTGTAGGCAAGTGCTGTAGCCTGTGCATACCTAATCAAAAACAGCCCTAGATACAATTTTAGCAGTTACCAAACTTGCTCTTGGAATACAGGTGAATTCTGGTCTGCAAAACCACATGCACACTTCAGTAGCAAAAAGGGCAGAAGGATCCCCAGAAAAAAACGGAAAAACAGAAAAACCCTGCAGTGGTTATTTTGCAGGGTACCTTATCCAGAGCTAGTAAAGCAGTACTTACGCAGGAAAAGCTGTCCACTTACATCTCTATAAATCTGTGAGTTTAGACCATGGAGCTGCAAAATCTAAGCTGCCCCTCCAAATTTAGCAACATTTATGTGCTGCTGTCTTGTACAACCAGAAAAAAGTTTGCAGAAGAACATCCTGGGATTATTTAAAACCAAGATGAAGTGAACTTAAAGACCTGGCGAGTTTTGTAGTCTTTTTAAAGGCAGTGCTTCCTTTTCCTCAGCAGAACTCGGCTTCATCAAACGGCTCCTGGAAAAAGCCAACTCTTTCTCCTAAGTACTAGAAAGAGCCCCTTGAATCAGCTCCCCTGTTAACCCTCTACTTCCAGGTACTTTAGTCTTTTTCTCATAGAGATCCCCAGGATAGGGATGTGCTCCTCACAGTATGCGCAGGTACCATTCAGGAAAGGTTGGAGCATAGTGCTTACCTTGGCAACTAGCCTGTATTATGCATGCAGTGAACAACATAAGCACTTTGCAAGCAGTTGCGGCTCTTCCATCCATCTGATGGTGAGGTCCCATCTGGGCTGGGATGCTCCAGCTCCTTCAGAAACCGGCTGCTCAACTCCGGGGTGCTGATCTGCACAGCAGCAACACAAGGAGTCTAGTGTCTTTTTCTTATCCCGCTAGTTGCAGAAGAAAGGCGTGTTCGCCTGTTGAGACATCGCGTTTTCTATAAACTCCCACCCTCCAGACATTGCATAAAGCTCTTTATACCCAGCGGCCCCGGAACTAGCATAAGGGAATCGGGCACTGCTCCAGGCCCTGCAGCCACAGGCCGCCTCTGCCCCTCCTTCTACACTTTGCAGGATAGGCAAGATGCTTCCAAGACCCTGCACTTCAGTAATTTTATATGCGTCTGTTGGTACTATACTGTGTATTTTGAGTAGATCAGAGGAATTTCAAATTGCAAGCGAAACACATCTCAAAGGCATGCTCCAAGCAAGAAAAAGTGCCTTCGACAACTAAGCCTTACAAATACTTCACAACACCTTCTTACCAGGGGATAAAGCTCTGATTTTTTTTTTTTTTTTTTAAATTCCTCCTAGAAACATTGCTAGAGGAAAACTGCTGGGATGAAACCTACTTCTGCACTTTCTCAGGAGACACAATCAGTTTGATAAAAGTGGTTTGGCTGTAAATGCTTAAGATACCAGCTGAAGACACCTTACTCTAGTTCTAACCCTCCAACAGTGTATACAGCACATGTGAAATGTCTGCCTGTGTTTTAGGTATTGTTGCCATTTCAGAAATCACAAACCTATTAAAAGGGGTAGAACAGTGCTTACCATCACAGGGGGAAGATGAAGATACCCTGATATTTCAGGTTGGAATGCAGTCTTGGGAAAAGGGTAAACATTTTGGAGGCTTTGCTTACAGGATCAGAAGTCTCCTGTAATAAACTGCATGAATCGAGATTTTTATTTTGTTCGATATTGCTCAGAAGTAATGTTTTATGTAGAAAGTTTTGTTATGCCAAGCTGTTCCTTTCTATGCATGCACGCATATATACATTGTTTTCATACTCATGTATGTACTGTTTATATACATTATAGGAGAACGAAGTGGGTCTATTTATCTTGCAAGAAGCTTTGTCAGATTAATTTTAACACCATCACCTTTATAAATGCCACATATCATTTCTATTAGTTTTGTATCACGTTCATTACATTGCAATAGTTATTTGTGACACTAGTGATAGAACTTAAAGAGATATTTCAAAGCATTAACTTTTCTTCTTTTTGCAATGGACTGCAGTTACTAGTAGCGTGTGGAGATGCTTGAGTTATTCTTGCAAGAGTTCTGGGGGCATGCATTGTTGTTTATTACCAGAGTGATTTTTCCCTAGGTCTTGTAGGATGCTAATCCCCCCTAACCTTTCCAAGGTTTTCTATCTATCAAGCTGGTAAAGGAAGGAAGGGCGGGGGGGTTTTTAGAAATGTAGAGTTCAGGCTTTTGCAAGGTTGTGATTTATGCAGGTTCAGGGCTGTTTGGTGTAGTGGTACGACACAGCACCGGGGTCAAGCCACAAGAAACACTGGGGGCAGATCAGAATATTCAATTAGCTTCCTGGCACCTCTGAATCACAAAGAGAGGATAAGATCTCTCCATCACAAGATCCAGAGCTGCTGGGGGAGGTGGGGGGGAGGGGGAACCTGCCCGCTTCAAATCTCTCTCCTCCCTCCCACCATCTCCTTTCACTGTAGGAGAACAGTGCTTGAAACATTCCTTTCTGCACGGAAGGACTTTTCCTATTGTTGTTTTCTTTGTGTTTCAGTGTTGCCAACTTACTGGAATTCTTGTCGTGGTTTCACAGCAAGGCTCAGGCTGACCAAACGGAACCAGCTGCGTTTGTGTATGGGGCCGCTGCTACTTTAATCCTCCAACAACACCAATGGGGAGGAAAGGAAGGGATCCTCAGAGGGGAGCAAGCAGATCCACCCAGTACAGATCGGTGCCTGAAAAGCCAGTATACAGATTAACCATATTTAATTATAAGTGGAATGGTGTGAATCAGTTCACGTCCCAGCAACATGCAGACAGGGCTCAGGAGCTGCAACCCCAGATTGGGAACAGCATGCACTCTCCTGCTGCTGTGTGTTGGGGGTCACCTGAATACAAGCTTTGGGAGGCTGTTCTGTGTCCTGATGCCACACAGCAGATGGCATCAGGAAGGGGTGCTCTTACTTCATTCAGCATTAACATTCCTACACAGATGTATTTCCCAGAGGGTGGCAGGCAGAGGGATTCTCTAACAGGAACGAGGGGAGACACTGTTAATGATGCTGGGAAGCCCTGTGCTGAGATGGCAGAAGGGTCCGTCATCCCCACTCATCATTCTTCGCAGTCAGAGACAAATGAACTGATCAGCCCAGATGTCTCACTGCCAAAGAATGACAGTAAGGAACCAGCACAGGACAATGTTGCTCTCCTCAGACTACTTCATCTAAAATTTTCCCCTCTTCCTTTCTCTTGGCATCATATCACCTAACCAAAGGGGCCCTGTCCTTCAGGGCCTATAGGACACCAGCGAATGGTACTTCAGTGAGATTGAGCTGCAAGAGTAGATCAAAGCACCTCAAGGTGTTTGGGGCAGGTAAATCTTTTCCTCAGAGAGTCTAGGAAGAGACTGGATACCTTTGGTGGGGACATGGACTAGGAAACACACCTTGCTCTTGTTTGTTATTGACAAAGCAGGCTATGGACGAAGTAGTTGAACATTCGACCATAATGTTTTAGTTTCACAAATACAACTGATATCCATGCTGTCTGGCATATTGCATGATTTGCCTCTCCTCTGCATTTCAGCATGTAGCTTCACGCATGAGGTAACTACAAGCAAAATCACTTGTGCCATTGTAACACACCTCTCCCTACTAGCTTCCTGCTGTCTAACAAGTCAACAGGTTGTTTTCTGACTGAAGTAGATCTATGGATTTTTAATTGATCTAGATATTATTTCAGGTTTAAGAGGATGCACACTACATCTGCTAGAAGCTTAGAGGGAAAAAAAGAAGGGCAATGCAGTTGTTTACTGAAGTCTGGTTTTAACTCAAAATTCAGACTGGGAAGTGCTTGCTTGTCTTGTTTTTGCTGTAAGCAAGCAATCAGAAAAGCTGTTAAAGGTGTAATGTAGAACGAACGGCCACGTTGCTTACACATTAAAAGATGCCTGCTAACCAACAAAGTTAAAAATTAAAGGCTTGATTTTTGACCAGGGTTCAGTTCTAATTTACAGCATCAAAACTCAGCCAATTCTTAACAGCCAGATAGAAACACCACGGTTGATGTATTACTGGACAGAGACAAAAAGGTGATGGCTAATAAAAGAACAAGATATGTTCACTTGAATAAATAAATTCAGATATGCACCTGAATGTAAATTTGTCTCTTTTGAACTTTCTCAGGGCTAGGACAGTTTGCAGGGGCTGAGGATCTGCCCAGTGCATTAACTAGTAAAGCTGTTATTGCCACTGGCATTCAGTAATCTTGTGGTCAGTCTGTCCTTGGATAAACCCAGGTTTTTCCAAATAGAAAACATTTTTTTTTGTTACAATCTGTTTCCAGCTTCACATGGAAGTTTCATCATTAAATCCTATGCCTTTAGCATGGCAAGCTTTCTTCTATTATTATTATTATTTTGAAGTCATACTAAAGCAAGGCTACCTACAGATGTGCTCGTGTTTTGAGAGAATACTGGTATGACAACACATACAAATCTAAAGTAAAAATGACCCAGTCTCTGCCTGGGTAGTAGTCCCCAGCAGCAACAGTTCATTCTTTGGATTTCATCCATCTTTGCTATCCTACCACATAAAGGGTCCCATTTATTTAACAGATCTCTGCTTTAGAGCAACCTACAATATATACGTGTGTGTTAGAGACCTCCTTTCCTATAGGGCTATTTATTGCAAGGAGGGACTCTTAAGGCATTTTCTTTTTACCTTCACCTGAGGCACAACTGAGTTTGCATCAAAGCCATCAGATTTCAGAGGGAGCAGACATAGTTCCTTGGTATGCACGGGGGCCACAGTACTGATGCATATTGGGACTTCACAACTTAATCTCTCTAGGTGCACGTAGCGTGAGCAGGAGTTTCCATTAATAGGAAGGTCATGTTTTAGAGCGCTTGGATGGAATTTAGGTAGAGAGCCAGTATTGATTTCAACTCCTTAACAGAAGGAGGAGAAAAGTAGAAAACAGCACTGAGCTCACCAAGCTTCTCGTATTAGCCACATCACATTTCACAGTGTTAAAAACAATGGCAGTTATTTGTCAGGGAAATATTTTTTCAAGGATTTTAAAAAATCCATCTAACCTCAAACTAAGAAAAAGAGGGCCTTGGCTGGTATGGCTCCCAAGCACCTAACGCAACCTCATCTTCAGAGACATTTCTAGAAGACAAACACACTGGATCCAAGGTGGATCCCCAGTCCACGTGAACGTGAGAAACATTAAACCCAAAAGAAGTGAATCAGGCCAGAACAGAAATCGCAAAGTGAGGACTACACAATGCACCTGGCATCATGGTGAGAGGTTTCCTCACTGTCTCCTGCTCAGCAGTACATGACAACTTCTGTCTTTTAACCTGGAATTGGATCACAGTGCCCTGGAACTCAAAAGCAGCACGTGAGAACTATGCACTGTTTTGGTAACTGCCACTTAAAAAGTGAGATTAGCAGAGAGAGGCTCACAAAATGAACTTCCAAACACCCCCTGTGCTTTCCCCTCACTCCCAGCAATGGGCCTGTGATGGAGTTTAACAATAATAGTATGGATATGAGAGGGTGTCCCTGTCTGGAAGGTGGAAAGAAGGGAAGAGATATTAAACAACTCCAAATCTGCCCCTGCCACTATCCCTTTGGTTGGCACTGTCTCGTCCAGCTTGCATGTCCCTGTGCCCCATGCTGGAGACATAGTCACAAACCCAGCACAGGGAAGTCTTGCCCCAGCTACATCTCTGGTTACCAAAGTTCTTAGTACTTACTTTTCTGCAAGTAGACTTCTTTTGCACTGCCTGTGTGAGGACTGGAGCATCTCTATTTTGCTCCAGTGCCCTGGCCCTT